TAAGACTCCAAGTGTGATTTATTTGGAAGCAGAGTGGCGGGCTCCCCAAAGAGCAGAAGAGTAAAATAGCAGCTACATATAGAGCCTCAAATTTCATTTTTAGCTGACAGCGTTGTTAGGTCTCAGACCTGGGACAGACATCTGTGGAGGCTACCAACACCAAAACTGACGAAGGCCCCAGGTTCTCTTAGCATCCCTCAGTCCCCACCTGCTGCGGGCTCTTCCTGGCTGTCCTTCGCAGCCCTCTCCGCTAAACTTCTCCAGGGGTTGAGCTGCCCTTCCCTCAGCTTTCTTTCCTGTGTAAACCAGTCACTTTGGCTACGCACCCCCTTGCCCCCATCCCCCTTAAGGCCTCTGCCTCCTGGCCTCTTAGCTCCTGTCCCTCCTTCCCTCTCCTCACAGGGCCTAGCTCAGCCTTCTGGCCATGTCCACTCTGAATTCTCCCAGCTAGCTCTGCCTCTACCAGTTTTTTTTCCTTATATCCATAATAAAATCCTCAACCCCATAGGAACACTCATGTCTTCCTTTTAGTTATTTGGCTTTTTCTGTTTTTCATGGAACACCCAGATTTTTACTCCTCATAATTTGTGTCCTGGGTCCTCAGGACAACAAGGGCACCATCAGCTTGGAGCCTGTAGTATTAGAATAGGCCTAATATTAGGAGTCTTATCATGGGGAGGAAAGTGCGTGGAGATGCTAACACTCTGGCTCCGGGAAGTAAGGGGGACAGCAGAAGACACGCCCCCAGGCACTTTGGCAAACATCCTCTTCTCAGTCTCAATGGGTCAAGACAACTGTCTTGATTCTCCCTACTCACTGCTATCTTGCTCTTTTCTCTTGGTCAGGGGTGTCAGGAAGGGTGATTCTAAGACCAAGAGTTGACAAGATGGGAGTATCAATCGACTCTCTTTAACGTGTAGGAAGGTTTATTCAGCTAAACCTGTTATAAGCTGAGAACAAGGCAAGTCAAAATGTTTCACCTGCTGCTAACAGTGCAGCTCAGAGCATTGGTTGTCTCCTGTCATGAGCTGATGACCGTCTAGGAACTGGACTTCACCTCTGGCATCCTAGTGGAAGAACATACGTCAGATCACAAGCCCAGAGAAAGAACAAAATTCAGAGTTGAAGTACAATCTTTACTGAACGTAGATCACTTTTCCATCAATAAAATTGAATGGCCATATTTATCTCCATTGGATTGCCTACTGGGCCCATTCACTGGTCCCGGAACCACGACTTTGGTAATATTATCACATATATGCAGAAGCAGAAATTCTGTTTGGGATTTTTCTGTTTTATTTACCCAGAAAGATCATTTTAGAAACAAACCATGATTGATATTTTACATTTAGGCTTCAATTTTAAAAGGCACAGCAAACCTTGTACATCCCAACCATCTAGAGAAATTTTCCCAGCCCTCCCCCTATTTCTCTTGGACCATCAGCAAACTGAATGGCAAGGGACCTAGAAGATCTTAAGTTATCCTGCAGACATGAAGACATGGGAAGTTGGCTATAAAATTACATTTGGGTATTTTTCTTATTCCCTGCTCAAACGCTGTCCAAATTTTCTTTATGAAATTGGAAACCGCCTTCCTTTTTCCTGCCTCTGCACTCTGCATGTCTAGAGCTAAATAATCTGCCTTTCTCTCCCTACCCCAGTGCCTAGAATACTTAGCAGCATTAGAAAGTCATTCTTCACTGTCTGAACTACTAAAAGAAAAAAACCAGTCTATAACAACGAGCTTCCTACCACTGCCAAGATAAATCGTAATCAATCACAAAAAGAAAAAGAAAAAAAAAAACAAAAAACAGGGCATAATCCAAGGAAGTACCAACAGTTTAAAAGAAAAGTAAGTTGTGTGCTTGGCTAAATGGAGTGGGCTCAAAAGCATCTAGAAATCAGGCTGCAATATAAAAGGTGTGTTAGGGGTGTTCATATGGTACCCAGACAAGAGTTCACACGGTATTTCAGTAAAAAACACAATGCACTGTCCTCCTGTGATTTCCTTTGGTTTTTCTCACCTTTGATTCATCTCAGGGTGAGAGATAAGAATTGGTGTAGTCCACACTCACTACAGAACATCCTGGCTCTTCCCCACTTTTACTTTGAACACAGGAAGCGTGCCATATATGTCAGCTCTGTGTCCCACATCTTTAGCATAATCCACAGTCCTAGAATGTGAACAGCATGGTGGATCCTCAATTCTAAACCATGCAAAGCAAGTCTTGTTTAAAAAGCATGTGACAGGGTCAAGCCTGAATTATCCAAGGATTCCACTGCATAAACTACATTTATTAATGCTCCTTAAGGGAGGCTAGGCTTGAGCTCTCCCATAGGACAGGGGGAAGGGAGAGAGAAATCAAATCAATTCCAGCTAGATAAGCAGTCTGAGTGTAGGACAGGAATGGTGGGGGCAAGGGCTGAGGAGGTCATAAAGTCAGGAAGCAGTAAGGTTCATTAGACCAGAGTATGAAAGGAAATTGTCCACACAGCTAATAAAGAGGTCATGACCAGAGAGATTGGTTCCCAGGACCTTGTGCGAGTCAGCATCTGGCAGCGGACTTGTATGTATGACAACGTGAACAAATTAGACAGAAGACTCAGTGGGCTGAGAAATCAAGAGCGTTCAGGAGAGATGCTGGAGTCGTGAGAGCCCTGAAGTCATGAGAGAGGAAATCAACTAAACTTTCACGTGGAACAAAGTGGTCAGTTTCCAAGTAATCTTCAGAAGAATGAAAAGGTCCGTTAGGAAATTCAGAGAGATTAAAAATCAGTCTGTGTCGGAGCACATGGTCTCTTCTGCCTGTCCTGGCTCATGTGCATCTCTCACATCCATCAGCTTATACTTAGCATGCGTCAACAGAACAAGATCACTTGCCAGAGTTCACCAAGGACAACCCACAGCGGCACATTTGCTATCCCTGGTGAGAATTCTTATCTACATGCACGAAAAAGCAGCATTTTCCCTAACGTACTTACGAAAAGAGATTCCCCACCCCAGCTAGCCTTCCCTCTGCCGGAAATGAGCGTCCCATGTCAGCAATGTTTCCTGTGTGCTGAGCCTCACCCCACCCCAGCCACCCGAGTCCAGCTTCTCTTGCTAACAAGGGTTTATCTCTCAAGGATATAAAGCTCTGTGCACTAACTGAGATCCGTCCCAAGGGACGGTGGCTTTCTACCTCTCCTATCTTCTGGTGCTTAGCCACGCATCTAGGACCACTCCATGAGAGTGGTCGCACGGGCACTGACTTGGCACTTTCAAGCTAAGAACTTGATAAGTTCCCTTCATGTAATAGTCATGTTTGTCACCGCGAGAGTCATTCAGCTCAATGATAAGTTTGTTTTCCTGAACCTGTCTTAGTTTGAGTAGGCCGTCAAGCATCCTGGTTATTGAATCTGAGGCCCAGCTCGTAGTCCCAGCTTCCCGCCCATGCCCATGGCAGAGGCCCAGCTCCTAGTCCCAGTTTCCCGCCCATGCCCATGGCAGAGGCCCAGCTCCTAGTCTCAGCTTCCCGCCCATGCCCGTGGCAGAGGCCCAGCTCCTAATCCCAGCTTCCTGCCCACACCCACGGAGAAAGATGAGCCTTGCTTCAGAGTCATCTGCCGCATGAGAACCCAGATTCACTCAGAAGATGGGAAGCTGAAGGGAGCACCAGTCTTAGAAATCCCACAGGAAAAAGACCGAGGGTTTTTTATTTGGGTTTTTGTTTGTTTGTTCAGTGTGGGTAGTGTCAAACAATGTTTCTCTGTGTAGCCCTGGCTGTCCTGGAATTCACTCTGTAGACCAGGCTAGAGTTGAACTCATTGACATCTGCCTGCCTCTGCTTCCCAAGTGCCAGGATTAAAGGAGTGTGCCACCACCGCCTGGCAGTTTTAGTGATTTGTTTATTTATTTATTCTTTCATTGATGGTTGTCAGGTTGCTTTCCCTAAGGTACTCTAAGGCCTGTCTTTATAGAATCCAAAAAGCCAAAATATTCAGCTAATTGGTCTCCCCCTTCATTTAACCTCTAAACAACAAGTTCAATTAAATTGAATTTTAAAAAGGAAAAGAAAACAGAGATGAAACAAGCAAATGCATAAGTAACTTTAGTTTTTTCATCATTATTGTTCTGGATTTTTAGAGCAGGCAATGGGACCTGGAGAGGTGGCTCAGTGTTAGGAGGACTTGCAGCTCTTGCAGAGAACCCCATTCAGCCACCAGCACCTTATGAAGGCTCACAGTTCTCTTCAGCTCCACTTCCGAAAGATCTGACCCCCTCCTCTAACTTCAGGCATGAGGCATGCACATGGTGCACAAATACACATGCCTGCAGACAACATGCTTACATACATCAAACAAAACGTGAATCTAAAAACGAATTTACAGCAGGCCATGGGACCTGAATATAAAGAATCGCCTGCCTTTTCCACAAATGATGCTGATGGCAAGCACCCATCAAAGAAAGAGCCAATTCTTAAGGCTAAATGAACTAAACCTTGTCAGGAAAAGGATAAACTAAAGATTCCTGTAATTGTTGGTTGAATGCACATTATCTTTCTCTTTTTGTTGTGAAATCAACTTTTAATGAAATGAGGTGACTTTTTACCAATGCATCCTAAGAACTTTATGCTAGATAACAGCCCACTTCCCAATGTCCAAAGCAAAATTTCTAACAGCAAACTATACAATTGCTCCAAGTCATAAACAGTGGTTGACCTTCACCAGGTAAGAGAAATCTTTATATTTCACAAAATCTATCACAGTTTCAGTATGTAAGGTTTAACAGATACATTTCAAATGCAATATGTTTTAATGTAATAAGAATCTAAAAGTGTTTAATCTCTAAAAATAAGCTTCATTTTCAGGGTTCAAAAATTCCATCCTTCAAAAGAACCGTCCATCGCCCTTCCATAGAACCAAGCTTCCCACGCCTGACTGTCCCGGGCCACTCCAGACCAACCTGTCACGGCTGCACTCACTTCATCGCTGTTGTCCTCCCAAAGCAAAGTTTAAAGTAGAACATGGGATATTCCATGAATTTCTATGTCATCCTCACACTGGAGCCGTGCTAACCTTCTCTGAATTGTTCCAATTTTAGTACCTGTGCTGCCAAAACAGGTACAACAACATTTTCTTAGCCTGGACAGTGTGTGTGTGTGTGTTATATTATACTTTACATTTATAATATACTTTGTAAATGATAAACTCTGTAAGTGAGAAAGGTAATTCAGTAATAAAACACATACAAACAGAAGTCTTAACAAGTGAGTAAATTCTCCAGAGAAACCCAGTGTTCTACAGCCCTGTCAGTGAGGGAAGCCAACCAAAATGGGGCGTCTTCCACGTATATGCAGTGTTCTGAACAGAAAGTTGCTCTAAAGACAATGTGTAGACAGCAGTTAGCTGGGGCTATAGAGAAGCATGGGAAGAGTGGAGGGAAGTGAAGGTGATTTAATAAATGAAGGTTTTGTTATTCAGGTGAGGAAAGCATCTCTTTTATTTCTCCCTTCTTTCCTGTTTGGGTACAGCCTCCTATAAGTGCTGTACCAGTGAGTCACATCCCAGACTTCAGAAAAGAAAAATATCCAAAATTTAAGATGATGGTGATATTCCTACTTCAGTGACTACAGTAGAAACGCTTGGCTTGCATGTTTTGGATGGTTAAATATGATGCATGAGACTGATATGAGCTTTAAAAGCAGCCTCCAGGGGCTGGAGAGATGGCTCAGTGGTTAAGAGCACTGAATGTTCTTCCAGAGGACTGGGGTTCAGCTCCCAGCACCCACATGGCAGCTCACAACTGCCTGTAACTTCAGTTCCAGGCAACCCGACATCCTCATACAAACATGCATGTCAGTAAAACACCAATGCACACAAAATAAAAGTAAATAAACCAATAAAAAATCAGAAAAAAAGCAGCCTTTAGATGTTCAGCTACCCAACACACACACATAAGTGTGTTTGTTACTTTTGTTGTTGTGATCAAGAAGAAGTACCCGATAAGAAACAAGTTAAGGGCAGAAGGTTTAACCAGTTTCCAGTCTGAAAGGGTACAACCAATTGTGCCAAGGAAGGCACGGGTGGCATGAGTGTAAGATGGCTGCTTGCACTCCTTCAGCAGTCAGGGAACAAACGAGGACAGAAGGCAGGACAAGACTAGAAAGTGTCAAGGCCCACCCCAGAGGCCTACAGCAAGACCCCACCAACTATAAGTTCCGCACATTGCCCCCACAGCATCACCATGAACCGACGGAGACATCTTACACTAAGAGGGCTGCACTGAGTCAGTATGACCCAAACAAGATGAGCAGAGCAGCACCAGCCTGTGCTGCCCCTCCTCCTTCTTTGGCCACGATATTCCCTGCTCTCTATTTGATCTTGTATAGCTTGTATAGCTGAGGATGACCTTAAATTCCTGATCCCCCATTCCTCCCTCCCCCACCTTCAATTCCTGATCTCCCACTCCTCCCTCCCCCACCTTCAATTCCGCGGTGCTGTTTACAGCCATGAGCGATGCTGCTGTAGGAGCCACACCCTCAGCCGTCCACTAGTCTTTTAGACTATGCACTGATCAATGGCCCTGGCCCTGGATCGTACACAAAACCTGGTACCTGAAACAAGCAGTCCTCCTAGAAGAGCATCCTCCCGATTCGGCCAGATGTCCATGCTTCCACCCACAAACCTCTGTCCTAGCCCAGAGATGTTGAGTAAGGACTCTGGTTGCCTGTGGATTAGACCTCTAGAAAAAGACTTCACTAGGTCTTGTAGCAATCATGTGTGCCAGAATGAGATGCTCTGAGGTGCAGTTAATGGAGACACACACCAGAGAGCACACAACCTCTCCTGGCTATTAGCCATTATAGGTTCCTTACGGTTGTCCCATAGAGCTGGCCATGTTGTTCTCCATTAGGAGGACAGAATGTGAGGAGCTCAAAGCGTGCTGTGTGTGCCTGGGCGTCAGGGATCCCCGGCCATGCATACCACGCAGATGTGAAAGCCCCACTTCCAATGGTGAACTTGTGTTGGATAACCATGTTTGGAGTGGCTGAGGAAGAGGAACGCTCCTAAGGGCTTGTCTGAGCTCATGGGTGTACAGATGCCAGACACGTGGTTTCCCTGAGCAGCTCTGCCTTTCCCAAACGTCCCCACCCCACTTCCAGAGCTCCTTGCTTTCCTCTGCAGAATCTCTTCAGGATGTGGGACTTGAAGGAACCCCTGAGTCACCAAGCTGTCTGTGATCTGACTCCCCAAGGCCTTCAGTTTTGACTTGACAAAATTGCATGAGGACATTGATCTCTTTCTTGCCACTGACAAATGGCAAAGTTTTCACAGGCTGAAATCAAAGTTCTTAAGTGAGAAAGAAAAGAACCAATTTGTCCATCATTTTGTTACTCTTCTCAAATACTTAATAATTAAGGGACAGGCTTCAGCATCCACTTAATTGCCTAAAAAGCTTGTTCTAATTTTCCTTTGAGTTTGCAGTGTTGACAAACTGCCAACACCCTAAGAAAAATTCTTTTAAGCAGTTAGGTGAAAATCATCAAGGAGTTTAGGTAGGTCACTCATTCAAAATGAAATTTAAATTTCCATATAATAATTTTGGTTTCATAAAATTTTATATTTAAAAAAATTCCATATAAGTCTCTCATCTAAGAACCAATGAACAGGAGCCGCTTGTTCAAGTTCCTGTAGCCAACATTGGTGTAGCTAGGGTCAGGAGAACCCAGGCCTTGGCCTCCTAAGTTATCACCACTGTCTTCCCCAGAACTGTGGCAGTTGAGGCAGGGACGGGGGTGGGGAGGAACACTTGGCAGAGCGAGAGAACAAGATAACATCTCTAGTCAGAGTACTTACGGACTAACCTACTCCCTGCACTGAAAATGCAGACTTCCTGGCAGTCAAATAAGCTGGGAAAGAGACCTTCCCAGCCCACAGCTGCCTCATAAGGTTCGGAAACTAAAACCCAGCGTTTACTGTGTCAGGACCCACAAGGCCAAAATGAACTGTGACTCACGCCAGTCTTAAATAGTTGCAATTATATCTCTTAGTATTGCTTTCATATCAAAATAATAATAGCAATTATATGCACTTACATTTTATATACAAATGTATATTTATCCTTGTAGGGCCATGTAATATAAGAGAAATAAAGAATTCCAACAAGGAAATATTGCTGCTCCATTGCATTGATCTTGCTGCCCGATTTTCCTTAGGGCTGCTACCCCTTCTGTCCGCAGACGCTGTCTGAACCTCTTTGCTGTGAGCTATTTCTGACATTGCTAATGTGTGTTTCTGCAGAATACTTGTCCTGGGGCAGAGGGCAGTTGAGGGAGTCCTGCAGGCTCTAGGAAGACAGTGAGCTTCTGAGTCTGAATAAGGAAAATTGAGGTTGCTCATTAGGCGTCGGGCCTATCAGTTAATGTTCTCCTTGGAAGAATTTCTCAGAACCAGACAAGAACCTTTTAGGGAGATTCATACAAGGCAAGTGGTGTTTGAGCAGGCAGCAGCAGTTTTCAGCAAGAAGCATAAACCCTCATTCCCTAATCACTGCTGGGTTCGTTACTGAACATGCCTGCACAATAAGACGGTCCATAGGGACACCACAGGCTTTTGTGAGCATACAGTGGCATATATACGTGATTGTCTCTAGCCTGTTACGTGCACAGACTGCATTTTCCTGAAACAAATACTTTTCTTCTTCTCCTCATTCCTCTCCATCTTTCTAAAAAGTTTGTGTGTGCGTGTGTGTGCGCGTGTGTATATGTCACAACACACATGTGAAGGTTGGAGGACAACTTTGTGTAGTCTGTTCTCTCCACCCACCTTTATGTGTGTCCAAGGTTTGAACTCAGGTCACCAGACTTGGGCAGCAAGCATCTTTACCCACTGAACCCTTACAATCTCAACTCTTTTTTTTTTTTTCTTAAGGAAATCAACTCAAAGTTCTGGTTGTACTGTTGAAGAGAAAAGACAAACCACAAGCAGACCGCTGGAGCCATCTGAACTCCAGGAAGCATAGGTCTAAACTGTGGCTCCCAGGGAGGTCAGGAAGCACCAGTCTGTCTGCCAGAAGAGCAGCTGCCCAGTGGTCAGGTCTTGTTTCACTCTGTGGCCCAAAAGTGTCACTATCACCTGGACCTTCTAGATGTAGAACTCCTGAGGTGGGACCAATGGCTCTGTGGCTCCAGCAGTTCTTCCAGGTAATTCTTGTGCACCTTCAAGTGTGAGGAGCCCCACACAAAAGAACATACTATCGCAAACCTGAAAGAACAGCAAGGCATTGGCCAGACAGCAACAGGAGTTCCAAGAGCTAAAGTCAAAGAGACTAAGGAAATGTGGAACAGTCAAAGCCTCTGGAAGGACTTCAGGAACCATGTAGGCATTATAAACATCAGAAACATCTTCATTCATTTAGTCGACATGAACCCACACGCTGCTCATTCATCTTCCTACTAGAGATGAGCCAGGGAATTTATTAGAAATGGGCTGGGCAGGATGATCCCCAAGACAGGAAGGGATCAGCAGTAAAAGCCTTGAAGACCTGAGGCTTTAGCGACAGCGAGAGAAAAGGAAGACGTGAAGACAGTATGCTACCAGTCCTGGGAAGAAGGAAGCCAGGGCAGAAGTACACGGTCCAAATCCCAGGGGCTTTAGGAAAGAGAAGGAAAGTAGGGCTGAGACATGCTCCGTCAGGCTCACACTGGCAGGAGTCCCAGTGGGGAGGCTCCCCCTCAGGAACTAACATCTGCCTTTCTTCACGTCTCTGCTACATGCTAGATGACCTGCTAGAGAGCAGTTTCAGCATCGCAAAGTTCAGGACACAGGATGCTTACAAAATTCAGTCACATGCGTAAACACTGAACAAGCTACTTCCTTGAGGCTAGCAGACCAGTTTATTGGAAGCTATGTCGCTTTAGTGAGCCACTGTATTTTACTAGGACTGTGTGAACAATATATGCACAAGTATGTATAGTATTAAGAATATTATATAAATCACATATATATGTATATATACATATGTATCTCTTGATAAAAGTAGGAAATGTGTTGCGTGTGTTAAATAGAGTTTACCCCACTCATACATCTACAACTACAAATTTTCCAGTTAAGATCTTAATGGCA